AGATCTCGAGGAAGCTCGCGATACATCGAGCTACGGCATGTGGCAACGTTCCGAATCGAATAAGATCGTCGTTTGGTTCTCCACAAGCGCGAAACGACGAGTCCCGCGTTTCGAATCTAAACGCCCCCGTGTCCCCGACTCGCGAAAGGCGCCACCTTCGAACTCTGAATCTTTCCGCAACCGTCAGATTCGGAAATCGTCTGTCGTATCGCGCGCGCCGCGTCGAGCCACGTAACCGTCACGATTCGGAGCCGAGATTTCCCTTTAGAGCGCGATTTCGACGTAAGGGTACTTCTTCGCCGAACTGTTTCGCGCGGTGGTCGTTCGGGGGTCGCGCGGAGGTCGCGCGGAGGTCGTGCGGAGGTCGTGCGGAGGCCGTGCGGAGGCCGCGCAAATGGGGGCGCGTTCCAAGTAGACGTCGAGCGCGTTTCGATGCTCCGCACGTTCGGTCCGTCTCGCGATTCGAACGTGACCGACAGTTTCGGTGCATCATCGATCATCGTCCGGAGGTTTTCCGCGACCCTTGTTCTCGAGGGAAGCCGCTTCGACGAATCGACGCGTAATCGATCGACCTTGAACACGACCGCGATTCGAGAAGGACGAGGGAAGGATGAAACTGGGGGACCGATAACGAACGAGATCGATCGTTTTTCGCGGCGGAACGCGCACCGCTGCTCGATCGCGATCAACGAAGCGGCGCGAGTTACGATGAAACGGACGAGTTAACGACGCCTCGCGTTACGACTGTCGCGTACGCGTTTCATTGTTTTTGGCCTCGCGATCGTGCTTCGGTCGTTGTCATTGTGTTCAATGCTAAATACTCGTTGCACACCATCCCGTATCTATCTCTGTATCGATATCTACATCAATATCTATATCTGTATCTATACCTATATCTGTATCCACATCTGCACTGTATCCATGTGTACATGTATTCGTATATGCACATGTACCTGAATACGTACATGGACACGTGCACGTGCACGTACACGTACACGTACACGTACACGTACACGTCCACGTACACGTACATGTACGCACACGCTCTTTGAAGCAGTTTTCAAACAATCGATCCTAATGGTATTATTACGCGTTCGAGGATAATCAAATTGAGGGGGAGAGAGGGAGAAAGAGCGGCGATTGTTGGAAAACTTGTGGATCAAGCGAAAGAAACATTCGAGGGGCACGATCCTTCGGAGTTATCGGTTGAACGGACTCGACCGAGAGTCGTCGCGGCGGAGAGGCAGATCCGATCAGCCGAGAACCAGAGAAATCGAGAGTAGGTCCGTCGAGATCGCCCGTCGGCGAAGAAACAGCTCCCTCGTTATGTATTTCGTACTTCCTATACATCGTTACACTGTTAACCGCGCACCCGTCCCAACTCGTACTCGTGTTCGTTCCTTCAACGATAATGTCGAACGTTGCGCCTCGATGACCCTTCGAAAGTACGCTTAAGTGTTTTCTCGATGCTCAATTACAACACGCAAGTACAAAGATCCGCGAAAGCAAAATCTATTTTCTCCTAATCGCGTGAATCCAACACTAATATACTCCGTCGACTCTAACGACTCTGTCCATTCTCGACTCGCGAACCGTATCGCGAACCGTATCGCGAACCGTATCGCGACTCGCGACGCGTGAAAGGGAGCTACCTCAACACTTACACGTTTAATCTTGGTCGTTCAACGTGTTCCTCGAAACGACGCGATGCAGCGCATCGCGAGCATTGCGAAAATAATGTCGCTGGCGATCAGGAACACCGGTCGGAGAAGAACGGACGATCGATATGCGAGCGAGAATCTCGAAATACGTATCCCGAAGGAAAAGTAACGGAGAAAGGAACGCGCAGTCATGTCATGGGAATCCATTTCTTCGAGAGACTACCTTGGGCAAGTATTCGAATTGTACGAAATCTATCTCGAAAGTGATATCTACGGTAGTCGTAGCGCTTCAACTTTCTTCCCTCGAAGAGTCCGCGAACGCGTTCGAAACTGGAACGGAGGTGAATTCGCGGTGAATCGAGTCTGCCGTGAGTCGTGTATTCCGGTGCCGCGGTTGCAACCTTCGTTACATAGAGGTGCACAGGTACATAGGTGCACAGGTACGCAGATGCACAGGTACATAGGTGCACAGGTATATAGGTGTATAGACGTATAGGCGGCAACCTTCGCAACCTCCGGTATATAGGTCGGGAAAAGGGGTCACAGGTGCCTCGCCCACCGTGGCTGGCCACCGCTACGGCTGTCGGTGACGGGAACCGAAATTGCGCGAACGCGCCGCTCGGTTAACCGTCCATCTCGGGACAAGCGGCGACCAGTTCGAGACGCGAGGCAAACGGTAGTAGGGATTGAAAGAAACGCACGGTCGCAATGCGGTACACCGAGCCGAACGTCGGACGGAAAGGTTGCTCGCGTGGAACGTTCGCTGGGACGGCGCCAAGCGGTCTTTGCCCTCCTAAATTCATCTCGCGATCAGATTTTCGGTATCGCGCGCGCGAAACTCGCGAGAAGCCGAATCGAAAAATCTTGCCCTCGAGGAATCGAATCGCCGTGTTTCCTTCGCAAATCATCCTGTCGAATTCGTAGCGGTCCGGCTAGTCATCAGCTGTCGGCGACCGCGTTACTGGGTAGTCCGGACGGATCGCGGCATCCCCTCGACGTATGCGAATTCACCGAGGAGGACTATCACCATCAGAATTCCAACGGAAACGGGCATTACCAAAACGGTAGATCCGGAGCTGGTTTCTGGGAATGCCTGGTAGGCTGCAGACGACGATTAGACCAGCACTTGGCCCGAAGGCGGGTAAGTCGGAAAATCATCGAAAATATCGCACGCTGGAAAAACGTGATGGAAAAACACTAAAGAGAGACGGGCTGCGACGCAACGCGACGGTATTTCCGGTTGATCGCGATTTCGCGGCGTCCTCGGTGTCGCTCGCCAGCCTACTCGTTACCTTCGTTTTTCTTGCTCGACCGCCCCTGCATCGCTATCGGTCGAGGTCGAGCGCTATTTACGTTGCACGGGATCGTTGGATCTTAAATCATCGGCGGAGAAAGTTCAAGGTCGAATCGATACAACCTTCCGAGCGTTTCACCACGCACGCCGCGTCTATAGCGGTTTCTCGTTCCCCGCGTTTCTCCTCGCTCGTCGCTCGGGAATCGCTCTTTCAGAATTTATTTGTCTCAGGTGGAGCAAGGCTTGAAGCTGTATCGTGCGCACAAACAACAAGCTGCGGTCCGGAAGTGGAGGGGTGCTCTGAAGAACATCCGACAACGCGAAGATAAATTCGCGCTCCTCGGTTATTTGTATCAAGCTTACATGGATTGGGGAAAATATAGGTATTTAGTATCCTTCTATTAACGATTGCCAGGATTCTATTAACGTCGCCTATCGTTGGACACGCATCGACTTTCCGTTTCTCCTCCGTGGAGGCGCGATTTCCGATTTCCTATACGTCCTCGCGAAAGCACCGTCGTAAACGATCCTACCGAGACGCGAGATGGAACGAATTCTACCGTTTATTTTTCGAATGAAATCTATTGGCATAAAGGAAAAGGAAAAAGCAAGCAAATGCGTAGGATTCGCGATGGGGAAACGGTTGCCGATCGTCCGGGCGGAAGCGATGCGAGGGAAACGAGAGTAGCGGTCGGTTTATTCCGGCGAAAGGCACCGGCGCGCGGTCCTCGGACGGACTGCTCAACCCACTTGGCTGCTATGGAGAGCACTACGAGCCTCCTAGTTTTAAGTACGGACCAGCAAGAGAAAAGAGCTTAATAGGGAGATTGCAACCGGGAGATAGTATTTACTTGTACGCGAAACGCGAAACGCGAAACGCGTACCGCGTACCTCGAAAGAACCAAAGGAAACGGTAAAGAAAGAAACATAGACGTGTTCCTGACACGGCAACGAGCCCCGTATTCTCGATACTAGAATGTTTCGCAAACATTCTTCTTGCCGTGGCAGACCCAACTTCGGAGAACCTAGTCAAGAAACATTGCATCGTTTCAGGGACAGCATTGATTTTGGCCACAAACAATTATGCATTTCGGAAGAGTTGGATTCGCCGAACATGCGGGCCGAGGCGTACTTGAACCTGGCGAGGGCTCACGAAAGGTTGGGCGCATTGGACAGAGCGTTGGACTATGCGAGACACAGGTATTATCCTTGCCGAGTCTACGATAGTTTCCGAAATTCACCGATCGAACGGTTTCGCAGTTTGTACAACGAATGCGACCAATGCGCGACCGCTGGACTGGTTCATCTGACCGTGGGCAGAGTGCATTTGGAGCTGGCAGGATTTTGTAAGGCTTTGGAAGCCTTCCAGAGAGCCCACAAAATCGCGCATTCCATTCAAGACCCATCGCTGGAGCTGCAAGTGAGTCGAGTGAACCGTTTCGATGCTGCGACAACGCACGCGTGTTCTCCTGTAACTCGATGATAATTCGCGATCTCGATCTCGATCTCGATCTCGATCTCGATCTCGATTCGATTCACAGGTGTACGTTGGTCTGTCGGAGCTTTTCTGCAGGTTGCACGATGCCGATAAAAGCGCGAGATACGCGGCGCGGGCGTACGATCTCTCGAGAAGTTTGCAGCTTGGAGATTTGAATTCGCGACATCACAGAGCCGCTCTGCTTCAGATGGCTGCGGCGCTTCGGAAGAAGGGAGAACTCGGCGACGCTCACGACTATTGCTCGGTACATTTGTTTGCGCGTTCCTCCGTTTGCTTGCTCCCTCTCTCCGCGTCGGTTCGCGTTCCTAGCTATTTGCGCTCGTGGTTCCGCATCCAGCTGTCCGTGGTCCTGTCTAATTCGAAATTCGATGCAGGAAGCAACGCGCCTGTCGCTCGTGTCCGGAGATCAAGCCAGTTACGCGAGAAGTATACGGATCATGGGAGATATTTATAGGAAAAAGACCGACATAAACGTAAGTACCAAGTCGAGCGGGGAAAGAAACTGTTAGAGAACCGACCTATCGATGACGTGCTGCTCTGTTCGCGTCCGTATCGTAGAAAGCGTTTCGACAGTACGAGAGCGCGATGGGCTCCGCGGCAGCTACCGGCGATCGCCTCTGCCAAATGGAAGCGATGGACGGCGCGGCCAGGTGTCTCGAGGCTCTCCGACTTCAGCATAAAATCTGTAATTGTCGTCCACTCGAATTCAATACAAGACTGCTCGAAGTCGCTGGTTCGGTCGGTGCTAAGGTAATCTCTCCCTTTCGTTCTCTCGAGGTGGGCCGCACTACCGAATAGTTTCCCGTTGCCTCGGCATCGCGTTCTTCTTGTCCTGCTCTTGTCTCGTTTGCTATTTTATCTTCTCCTAGTTCCTGGTGCGAACCGTGAGGTCGAGACTCTCGCGAATTTACGGCTCTCTCGGGGACGAGGAACAAAAGGCTCATCACGAAAGACTGGCCGCGGCGATGGAGGAAGATTTGGAGCTGCGCTGCGGAGGCTGCAACGAGCCTTTCGGCCTCGAGCCAGACTCCCTGGAAGCGCTCCCTTGCTCGCACATACTACACGCTAGGTATAACGTAAACACTGGTTAACGACTGTTTCGTCGCCGACCTTTCATCGAACCACGGCTCATTTGCAGGTGCGCCTACGAAATTTTGAAGAGACGCGATAAGAAAAAGAAGCGTCTATGCCCCGACTGTCACAAGTCCGTTAGTTCACGATTGTACCTGCATTGCGAAGATCCTCATGGCATGAATACTTTAAATCACAGTTCCTTGAGTCTGGCGTCGTTGAGAGCGAGCAGTCTAGCTACACTGGACGATTGTCATGCCACGAGTAGCGTTTAAGTCCCAACTGTTTTACCTGCTCTCTTTACATAGAGGTAAAGGGGACCTCTTTTATGGCGGTGTAATTCATTCAATCTTCGATATATCTAATCCTCCTGTAAACTGAAAACTCTCGAAATCATCGGTGAACCGTTGGACATTCAAAGTCGACGATCGATGCTCGATAGTCGATGCTCGGTGGTCGGAATTTTGGGTATTCGAAGATTGAAACGAGAGTTCGCATGGCGCGTAGCGGACGCGATGAGACGCGGCGATGAAACGCGAGACGAGGATACGCCGACCGTATTGTACGCGATCTCGTCACCGTTCGATTCAATTCGATTCTCACGAGAAGCCACCAATTAAACGCCACTAGATTCTTAAATCTTAAATATCGTTTACCGATATACATTACCGATCAATTAGGAAACAAAAGTTGACAGAAATCTAGCACAATTGGAAAGGACTTAATGGCAATAAACATGCACGTTCACATTGTTCGTCTTTTTCGATAATTATTTTCCTTCAACGTCCCAAACACCTCCCGTATCGTTCGAACCAAGTACGTACGTACGTGCGACTACCTGGAAGCACACGCGTACATGGTACATCTTTACACGCTATATTCCGCCATAGAGCCGCGCGTGCACAACGCACGTTTCGCGTTGATAGGCTTCGATTTTCTTCGGACGAATTGAAATTCGAGCAACTCGACGACGGGGACTCCGCTCGTTTTTCGATTGCCGCGAAACGCGTATCCTTCTTCTGCCTCGCGGACGAGAGAGTTTGTCCAAGTTAGGCGTCACGGTCCTTCGACGGAGCCTCGCGAATCGATCAAATCCATGGTCAACCAATGAAGCCGATGGCATGGTTTTCTCGAGGCTCGAGATGTCGCGCGCACGTCGCGACATCTAGAACGTGCTTATGGATCTACCGTCTAACCGCCATGACAGCTTATGCTTTTCGTATTGCGTGACGTTTGATCGGAACATGACATTTTGCACACTTAATTTTGACAAATGGCAGACTTCTTTTTCGGTTTCGATACAACGCTCGCAGTAAGTAGACCTATTCTCGCCGAATCTACGTTCGAGTGAGCAATCTCTTTCGAGGAGGTGGAAAATGGACCGACCAAACCACGAGCTCGTCCTCCGTATTCGCTTTCGGGGAACAACCGCGTCGTCGTTTAACCGTCCACAAACATTTCGAATTGTTCGCTGAATGGGTCGATGCTCGATAAACGATTACAGTTTGTGAAATTTTCAAATTTCTCCCTCGAATCGTCGGATATGTGAGGTTTACCGATCTTTTCCGCCCATATCATTCTCCAGATTAAGCATCACCCGTTACTACCTCCACAAGTTGTGATGGAGGTACGTCACATAACCTCACCGATCTGTTCTTCTCACGAAAGGTCGTTAACACTTCTATCGTGCTAATACTTATCGTTGTCGTTTCTTTCTCCCTTTACTTTTTCTCTTCCTTCTCGTTTCTCGCCGTGTTATTGTCGCGTGCACGATAAGGCGCGTAGAAACGGCAACTTACAAACACATTTCTCTTATTCGCGAGGCGTTTATCGCTGTGTCGTTCGAAGGGTTATTCCTGAAAAGTTTATTTCGAAATCGGAGCAGAATTCGAGTGTTTCGGCCACGCGAAAATGATTCTTTCCAGTTTTCTTTACTGTCCGATCTTCCCTTTCAGAATAGCAGTTTAGAAGATGGGTTGGATTGCCCATTGGAGGAGGACGATTTCGGAGAAGAGGAATACGACGCGTTGAACGATGAAACTTTCGGTTCCGAAGCTGCCACCGGTGATTGGGAGAAGGACCATGAAAAACTCGCAGAGATCGCGGAATCTAGCCGAAATCGGCCGCATGACCAGAATACCCAGAACCGGAAGGTAATTTTCAATGCAACTGGACCTTATCTTGT